ATCCGAGCGTCCTCGTCGAAACCGTCCTGATCGAAAGAACAAGCCTAGAAAGGCTCAGCAGAGCAAGGTCGATCGCCGTCCTCTGGTCTTGCAAACTGATGATGAGGAGGAGTTCGCCGAGCCGGTCCAGCCGCCTGTGTTGCTAGATGACCTGACGGAAGCACCGTCAAGTGAACGCGAGCTTAGAAATGCACAGGCAGAACTTCGTGGACTGGAAGAACAGACAGTTGAGCTGAAGCGTGAGTTGGAAAAGGTGAGGGAAACCCTTTCGCAAAAGCGAAAGCTTCTCCGTTGGCACGAAGAAGTGCGAGATTGGATCTCAAGCACTGGTGCCCAAGCAGCCCTCTGCCTGATTAAGCAGGGGTTTGCGCCGCCCCAACTCAGGTTTCAGGGTGAAATGTACACAACTGGCTGGCTGGATCCAGTTGACTAGCGGGGTAGACCTTGAAAAGTTCTGCTCTTGGCCAATGATGGAATTTTCTTCCAAGTTGCAGACAAGGTAGCCAACACTTGCCAGTTGCAGAAGTGCCATGAAAGCTAGAAACTACTTGGGTCGAGAGCAGGGAGTTCAATGACTGTTTCAATTTTGGACAAGCTGGGGAGAAAGAGAAGCGGAAGGCTTGGACATGGCACGTTCCATGTGTAGTTTGATGGTTGAGGCTTTTGTTTCCAAATGCCAGGTCAGGGTCTCCAGATTTTGACAGTAGTCCACGCTCTCAGATGAGAACTGGGTCATCCAGCTGAAAGACATCAGCATTGGAGACACTTTTCTGGTCTCCCCGCGTCCGCCTCCTCCTTCGCTTTCTTCTTCTGCAAATCCTCGTTCCCCGCTAAAACGCAAGTGCAGTGGGCACTGCGCCGGACCTGAATCACAAGCGCAAGATCTCAGTGGGCGCTGCCGGATCTCAACCACGAGCTCCAGATCTCAGTGGGCACTGTGCCAGACCGCCAGATCCAAATCTCAACGGTGTTGTCGGATCCCAACAGAAAGAATGTAAGATAGAATTGAATGTTTGATAGACTAGTAAGTGGACAGGCCTCAACTATCTCCAACTGCCCGAAAAAAAATTGGATAGAACGTCACGCAGAATGCCACAAAGATCGCCCCAGAGAGTCAGAAGATGCACCAGATAGAATGCGAACAAAATGCGACATAGAACATCGGAACAATGCCAGGTAGAAAGGAAGAAGATATACCAGATACAGTGACAGTCTTCCAGGTAGAAGGTGACCAAGTATGGAAAATACACTGCAGAGATGGAGTACTGCTTCGGCTATTGACAGACTGTCAGAAGAGTGAGACAGTTGAGAGGACTGAGTTGTAGCAGCCAGAGCAATCTTCCGAACACATGTCAGCCCACTTGTCAGGTTGGGGATCACGCGAAGTAGAGTAATTTAGCGCGTAAAAATTGCTCAAGGACTCTAAATCGGGATTCTTTTCCCCATCCATCCGTTTTATGGCCAGCCAGCAGTGGTTATCGACAATGACCTTGTGTGCCAGAGACGACAGGATACGATTCGTGAGCATGGGTTTTGTTCACCATTGCAGAGATTGCTGCACGTGGGCCAAGGCCGCTTTGCGCAGAGTGTTGTCAAGGCCCGGGCAGACCCATGGGTTTGTGGTGGGCAAGGTAGTCATTTTGCAATCTTTGCTTTTTTAGGGGGGCCTTTCTGTGATATTCTATGTAACATTTAGTGGTGTTGGATGGTAAGCTTGCTTGTCAATAATCAGTTCGGCAGCAATACTGAATGGTGAGCTTGCTCGCCCCAATTTGATGTTTGCATTCTGCCTCCTGTACGTGTTTGCGTTCTGTGTTCTGCTCAAAGCAGGAGGAAGGGACATTTTCAGCTAAAGATAAGGGGAAACATGGGCGTGTTTCTTCAGAGCACGCGCGACAATTTACAACAACACGTTGACTATGTGGCTAATCCTCTCATGGTTTGATGTTTGCACTTTGTTTTCTCGTTGCTAGCATGGATTCGTTGTCCGATGGATTTTTCTTGGACGCGCTTGGTCTAGAGGGCGAGGCCTCAGACACTTCAGAGTTGCAGTCTGCACTGGAAGCTTTGAACCAGCAGAGCAGTTCATTCCCAGCAGATTCGCCACGCTCAGAACACGTGTTCGACCTCAGCTTTTACTCGAAAGATGCATCGGACGAGGATGCTGGGCACGTTCCCTGCGCTGGCGCGGCCGGCTCAGACGCCTTCGACCTAAACTTCCCCGATGACCTCGAGGACCCAAAGTCTGTGCTTTCCGGATTCTCTTTGGTTTCTGATAGCTTTCACCAAGATGACGTTGGGGCCACAGGTTTGCATGGTACTCATGCCTGTCCCAAATTCGAGCCAGGCGAGAACACCACAGAAAGCCGCTTTCGTTTTTTCGATCGCTTGCTCTGCCAAGCAGTGGACATTTGGGGAGAGGAGCCAGTGCGTTCTGTGTGCGGACAGAAGTTCTTGGTCCAAAGTTTGTTTACAGGAGTGGGGGCGGGGGAGTGTATGTTTGAAAGGCTTCAGCAAGCTGCTGCACGACGTTGGGGCTCAGGACACATGTCCATAGCGTTCGGGAGTGCCTGTGACTTCGACAAGCGGTGTCAAAGCTTTTTGCGGCAGGCTTTTCCCGAGAGATGCATCTTTGGAGATATCAGAGAGATTGCCTCGCAGAGTGGCACAGCTTCTGCATATTGCCATCAACATTGGACAAAATGCCACGTCCACCCACAGCAGCATTCCAACAGCACGGGTCAAGTGCGTGTTTGGATCGTGACTGGACCTTGTGTCGCTCACAGTCGCATGGGTCGACGTTTGCAATTTCAAGATGACCGAGCCTCATGCCACTGGACTGCACGAGACATGATTATGGCAGAGGAGCCGGATTGGGTTCTCCTTGAAAATGTTCCAGAGTTCGACATGACATCTTATTTGCGCACTATGGAGTCAAAATATACTTTCAAAGGCTGTGTTGTCAAGCCACAACACAGTGGGGACCCCATGGGGAGAGAGCGCTACATGGGTTGTGGCGTCTTAACAAAGAGATGGCAATGGGAGACATCGCAGACAGAGACACTGGAGTCATTGCTGGCTTATCTGTCGACTTCAGCAGTCGGGGATTGCGATTCCTTTTTCGACACAAGTTTGCAGTGCCCAGCACCGCTTTCTGCATCCATGCAACGGAGCAAAGAAAGATACGAGTCAATCTTCCAAGGAACTCAGAGAGGCCTCCTCTATGATTTGTCTCAAAACGCTGCAAAGAGACCTAGAACCAACAGAGTCACAGGCGCTTTGCCTACCATTCTGACTCGGTCATTGTTCTACAGCACAAACCACGAGACCGTAATGAATGGCTTAGACTCGCTGCTTGCAATGGGCCTTCCAGTGACCCCTGCTGCCGCGCGAGCTTCTGGGACACATCGATGGCTCAGCGCCGTCCAGGGGCACGCTTGGCCTGAAAGTGTCCTGCGACACTTTTCAGGAAATGGTTTGCATGTGGCCTCCTTTGGCCGAGTCTTGTTTGTAGCAATCCTTTTCACTAAGCGTATCTAGGCTCCTCGCCGTTGATCAGCACAGAGAGCTGGCAGGTATAAAAGTAACAGGGAGCCAACATACTGAGAAAAAGATACTCAAGAAGAAGTAGCTAAAGGACCAGAATTGTTAAGTAGCAAAAAGTGCAGATGCTTGTTTCGTCAAACGGCAAGCGTTCCATGCGCATGCCGCCACTAGTGTCCGTGTGCTGCCAGGCCTGGTCAGGATGTTTCTCATGGAAGGCGGGCTCGGCAAGGGGTTGAGGTTGGCGAGCGGTGTCACTGGATCTTGGCCCACCAAGCTTGTCCAGTCATGCCGTTTCCGTGTTTTGATCAAAGCGCATTGGAAAGTGCAAAGTTTTCGCAGTTCTTTGCTGGCTCCCAAGAAGCAACCAAGCCACGGCCTACACCCTGCCATAAACCCTGCATCGCAGCGCCACGCCTTTGTTGCGCTGTGTGGCCCTTCCTCATGCCACCTGCCTTGACATGCCCACTGATGCGAAAGATTTGGTTTTCGGCTTTGTTTGTTGCAAAGCCGGATGGTGGCGTCGACTATGTGGTGGATGAAGCAGAGATCGATGCGCAGCCGCAACTTGTTCAATGTGCCTCCTGGCATCGCTACTAGGAGCAAGAATGCTACTAGGGGCTTCTGGCATCGCTACCAGGAGCAAGAACGCTACTAGGGGCTCCTGGCATCGCTACCAGGAGCAAGAATGCTACTTTGAAGCTGCTGGTTTTACTAATGTGTTATCAGTGTTACACTAGTTACTTACTACTTAATAACACTTTAGTAACACTCTAGCAATGAGTTATAACCAGTTATAACTAGTTATAATGTTGTTAAGTAGTTATATTTTTTAAGACAGTTATCTATCTTTTTTTAACTGTTAGGCTAACATGTTTAACAATCTTAAAAAATTAGATGAATTACTAAAGGTTAGATATGTTGCTTTCAATTTTTAAAACCACAATTTTGTTAGTTTTGTGTGTGAAGATTTTATAAAAAAAACAATATATATTTATTGTTCTTTGGAACACAAAACAACAAGTTTGCATGTCAGCCAATACAGGCATTGTCAGCCAATACAGGCTTTCAATTGCTATTGCCAGTGCAGGCTTCCTTTCGAGCAGCTTGCATGTACATGAATTCCATGCAGCTGCACACTTTCAAGGTGTGATGAGGCCATGAGGCCGTGTGAGGCCATGAGGCCATGTGATGCTTTCATGGCATTGTCAAAAGGTCAATGGACATGGCCATTTGTGCAGTCACAAAACATGATGCAATACTTGAACAAAGTTCCTTGAACACTTGCAATGTCTTTGCCATGGGTAAAGCAATTGCATGCTGTGATGGAGTCTGCTGACCCCATCAACATGAAAGCTGCTAAAGCTTTGGCACTTCTCAAAGAGAATGGTCTTGCTTACGAGGCCACAGTGAGGCCAAAGGATGTCCTAGTTCACACCTCAAACTGAGGTGGTGCCATGGTCAACGGTTATGATGTAGCCTCCAAGGGGCAGGCTATCTCAGAGCTAGGATGGGACTTACAAAAAGTGAGACAATCTGTGGCAATGGAACTTCCTGTGGACCAGGCCAAGAGACAAACCATTGTCAAGGCCAACTTGACCCTGGCAGAACAATCCGATGGCATATTATGCAGACCTTTTGGGCAAGAAAGATTTTGCTCTTTATCCTCCAGCCACACAACCTGTTTCTTGCGCAGCCTAGAAGCAGGATGTGAGGTCATGCCTGGCAAAGCTTCAGTTGAACAGCTGGTGGCCAAGGGTGACGACCTGGGAAAAATGATGTTTCAAGGATGGCAGTGGACCATTATCAGTTGCAAGGTTGATGAGGAAGTCCCCAATTTAGCAACCATGCTACAGCAGGCATACAACAGCCACTGGTATACACCAACAAATTTTCATGTTTTCCTCAAAGCTTTGGAGTTTTGGGATGTATTGCCAGCCATACAAGTATGTGCACCTTTTCAATTAAAGCTGTGAGTTTGTTTATATATTGGCATTTTGTTCTCTACATAGATGTATGGTTCATGTGGTTTCAATGCCAATCTGCTGGGTTGGGAAACATCAGGCGATCTTTCCATTGGCAAACCTCCAAGTGAGTTGGAGGTAATGATGACAATAGCTCATACATATGGTTTCCAAGCTGCTGGCAGCAAGGACCTCAAGAAGGCAATTGGTCAGGCAGCTGCTAGCTGTCCACCCTGCAAGCCTTACATAAAGACCATCGGCGATTTTGTTGCAAGCTATGCAGGAGGAGAGGACTTCAAACTACTCAAGTACTTGGACTTGATTGGATTCTCGATTGCATTTGCTTCTTTGTTGCATACTGCAATATCCAACTTTCAGCCATTACAGGCATTCAACCATTCAACCATTACATATAGGCCTGTGCAGGCTTGGCCATACAGGCCCATGATGACAAGTGAAAACACATTGCAGCCTGTGCAGGCTCATTGAATGCATGCCTTTGAACATAATCCCCTTGCCTTTCTCCATGCTGAGGACGATCATATGGAGCCTCTGTGATGCTTGGAGAAGAATTCTGTAGCCTTGTGGCCTATACAGACTGGAAGCTGCCAACCGCAACACTGCCATTCATGAGAGTTGCCATGTGTGCAGCTCAAATAACAGCACCCAAGCAGCAGTGCAAGGATGGATTCTCCAGAATGATCACCAAAGGAGATTTTGACAAGTTGAAGCAAAAAAACACCTGCCTAAGTTGGAGCAGGCAGAGCAGCTGATGTGTGCAGCCTGGGAGGCTGTGGAGAAATCTGGCTTCCCCATGGCAAAGACTGCCAAAGTCTTTGGCAAATTTCAGATTCGATTGGTCCTCCACCTCCTGGACAAGGAAGTCAAGGGAAGGGAAGGAACCAAGTATGAATCTTTTGAAGATATCAAGAACCGGTTTGAGGATGACTTGTTGCAGGCTGACAAGGAGACTGCAGCTGTCTCTGCACCTGAAGCCAAGGCTGTGTCCTCACAAAGTGTCAAGTCTTTGATGGATGCCAAAGATACACAAGCCATTGCTTTGGCAGCGCACAAGCACATTCAGCTGGGGAAGCTCTATGTGCACAAGAAAGAGAAGGAGGAAACCAAGGTGTGGAAGCTCACTGGCTTCATCGATGGTGGTGCCAAGTTTGTCCACAAGCCCTTCTTCAGAGCAGCTGAAGAGATCACTGTGTTGCACAGTGATTGGAATGATTGGAAAGAATACAAGAAACCTGAGCCTGAGCTGGTTTCTCATGAAGTCAGTGGTGCTTTGCTACCTTGTTCCTCCAAGGGCTTGGATGATGAGATGGCCAGAGCTCAAGCACAGTGGGAACTCTATGAGAAATGCAAAGAGTTTCTGGCAAGTATGTTAAGTTTTTTGTCTGTATGTGTTTGTTTTCCCAAAGTGTTTGAACCTCTGGGGATTGGAGCTCAGGCTGGGCGATCCAAGTGTTCTGGTCTCCAACCAGGGCCAAGTGTTTGCAAGTCAAAAGGTTGCCAAAGGAAAGCTATGTTTGCTTCCAATGGGCAGCTTGCAATTGGTGGAGGAGAGTAAGCTCATGAAGGGCCAAGTCTACATAAAGTGTGGCAACTTGGGCAGCCATCATGTCTATGTGATTCATGCCTTCAAGTGCGACTTTACCAAGGAGACTGGGATCTTCAGCCCTTTCTCGTTTGTGAAGCAAGCTACAAATGATGAGGAGGGCACTATGGCAAAGCAGATGGTGAAGCATGGGAGTTTGCAGATTCCATGTTATGTGAACAAGAAGCAGGTGGAGAAGGGCACTCGGTTGTTTCTGGATCCTCCAGAGCCTGACACCACTGCCTCCAAGAAAAGGAAGGTAGTGAAGTAGAAGTGATTTGTGCTATAGATTGCATTTTGACTTTGCAAGGCTGAAGCCAAAAAAGGTTTGCCTATACAGGTTATTGCTAGGTCAAATGCCAATGAACTAGTGCAAGTTCATTTGTGAAACTGGCAGCCTTTAGAGGCTGGTTCTTCAAGCTTATTGCTATAAGAATAAGCAAACAAATTCAATCTCTAATCTCCTGCTGCTTTGCCTCCCAAGGTTAGAAGTAGCTTGACCAGCTGTTGAGCAATGCAGGTCTCTGATGTCACCTGCTTGGCATACAGAGGTGGGCCTCAAGTGATGCTTAGTGAGAGCCTCATCCATATAGATGAAAACCAAAAAAAATGGCTCAAATTCAAGGCTAGCAGCCACACATTGACCAAATGTGTGCTTGGTCACTTGAAAGAATACAAAAGTGTCAAGAATCCTTCACTTGCTGCATCACCACAGGTGAAAGCAATTCAGGACCTGATCAAGGCAGCAGTTTCCAAGCATGATGAAGGAGAAACAAACATTTTTGAAGATGATCATGAGCAAGCTTCCACCTCCCTAGAAAAGGGCAAGCCAACCAAAAAAAAGATGTTGCGTACAGCCCCTGACACAGTGGATGTCATGCTGGGTGATGCTTGTGTGACCTTCAAGACACCAAGCAGCTGGAAGGAGGTGATACTTGTACCTTTGGAGCCTGGCCCTTTGACATTGGTATGTGATTGGATCATGCAAGACATTGGGATTTGTCTGAGCCAGAAGAGGCGAAATTACACTAAGTCTGGCAACTTTAGCAAAAAAGCCAGAGTAGACAAAGATGATGACAGTTCAGAATGACTGAGCTGGACAGCTGGCCTAAGTGAAAAAAACAAGCTACATGTGTGTATGTTTAGCCTATGCAGGCTGATGCTTTGGCCAATGCAGGCCCATGCTTAGCCTATGCAGGCTCATGCTTGGCCTATGCAGGCTCATGCTTGGCCTATACAGGCTCATGCTTGGCCTATGCAGGCTCATGCCCAGTGATAATGCCATTAAGTTCACAGCCAATGAAGGCTTCACATATATTGTATATAGGATCCAGCTGTTGCTTTTGCAGCAGTTTTTGCTCAATGTCTGCCAAGATGGAGGCAGCACTAACCTGGCAGGCCTTGTGCCAGGTGTTTCAAGAGCGAGCCAATGTTCTGTTTGTATCCTGGCTTTTTAATTCTCCAAACAAGTTTGCTAGTTTCAGCCAACATAGCAATACATGCCTCATCCAAGGCAGCTGACCAGGAGGGGATCAGTGTGCCACCAAAGCACTCTGACCAGGAGTGTCTTGCATTGCTATATTTAGAGTTGTGTTTTTCAATTGTTCATTTGTGACAAAGCCTTGACTGAAGCCATCTGGCTGTTTACTACATAACCAAGCAAAGTGCAAGTGTGTGTGTGTTGTCTGCAGGAGGCACCAATGAAGACCGAGCAGCACTGGGACACTTGGTCACCTGACTGGGGAGGAGACACAGTCCAGGGCTTAGCAAACTAACCAAACAAAACTGTTTATTTCAGACAGCCAATACAGGCTCATGCAATAAAGCCATTACAGGCTGATGTCTTTAAGCCACTACAGGCTGCTGCAATCAGGCTACTACAAGCTAATGCAATTAAGCCATTACAGGCTGATGATATTTGCACTCAAGCAATTCCATGCTTACAAAACACACTGATGAATTTTTTCATTGAGGAACCGCCTTCACCAGATGGAGTGCGACTACCAGAAGAACCGGTGGCACCAAAGCATGAGCCAGAAGATACAGAGGAATCCATGCAACCTAAGCCAAAGAAGAGAATGAAAACAAGCCTTCTCAAACCAGTTGGGATGGAAACTGTTCTTTGATTAAATGTGATCACATACATTTTTATTTTTTGTTTATGAAAGGTGCTTGTGTGCCTAGCATGCTCACATTGTTTTTGTACAAGGTTAACCTTGGCCCACATGCACAGGCTATGGAATCTTCACCAGTCAAGCCTGCTGATCCTGGACCATCGAAGCCTCAAGGTACACAGCAACCTCCTGAAGCAGCTGAACCAGTTAAGTCCCAGGCAGCACCACAACCTGCTGAGCCAGCTGTACCAGAAGTGAAGCCTCAAGGATCCCAGCATCGTCCTAAACCTACAGTGCAGCCTCAGGGTGCTGCGAAGCCAAATGAACCAGCTGGACCTCCACCTGTGCACGCACAGACTTCTGGTTGGACAAAGGTGGATCCTTTGACAGAGGCAATCAATGATTCGACTGCAGCAGGCTCTTCCAGTGGACAGTCATGGTGTGATATGACTTGTGGCTATGATGAATATGGAACATGGTGGGAGAGAGATGGCTATGATGACAAGTTGTGGTGGTTCAAGAAGGATCACGAGTCTTGGCGCAGATGGAGGGACCAAAGTGCACCTTGTCTTTTAGTATTGTTTTGTTGCTTTGTGAGCCTTATGGATTTGGTTATATGAGCACCAAAAGATTTTGATCCATTGGTATTTGATGTAGTGTTTTGTGGTATTGCAGGATCCTGATGACTACAAGCAGACTGGTTGGCAAAACAAAGCACTTGCCCTAGTCCACATGCATCTCAAGGGCAACACTGCCAATCTGAACTTCTACCTGGACAGGCTGTCAGAGCATCATGCTTTGGAGAAACCACTTGCAAAGTTGTCAAGAGCCTATCAAAAGGAAGGTGTTTCAGTGTACAGGAAATACATTTAGTTTCACTCACTGGCCACCTGTGACAGCACAAAGCTCTATGGCAAGCAGAAAAAATAGTTATAGCTTTTACAAGCTCAAAGATCTTTAGCCTGTGCAGGCTCATAGCTTAGCTTATGAAAGCTTATGAAACCAAAGAAAAGTATATAACAATAGAAGTTTTGGGCTCAATGTTCACATGCTCAGGTGACAAACATCATATATAAATCAAATCTTAAAAAATAGCGATTTTTTATTGTCAATTTAGAATTTTAAATTGAAAATTAAGGATTTTGATTTTCAATTTAGTATTTTAAATTGAAAATCAAAAATC